GGGGTGGGGTGGGCTTGAACAGAGATATAACCAGGACAAGGGCCTTGTCTTGGAGTAGTCCGGGCCCCGCCTCCTAATTTGGTACCTGCATCACCAGAGTCCCGAGATGTCGGGGGTGCTGAGTAGAAGTTAGGAGTGCCGAGTAGACATTGGGAACAAAGTTCCCTGGGTATTTTCAGGAGGAAAAGCTATCAAAGCGGATCTGGAAGGTGTCCTGGAGTGTAAGAGTGTGCATTCATTCGTCCTACAAATGTGGAATACCTACTATGTGCTGGTTCCTGTGCAGAGATGAGCAAAAATCTTTCCAGTTGGGGACACAATTTGAAATGAGGTCTGGAAGGATGGAGAACAGAGGATTTCCCCCAGGTCGTGGGGAATGCCAGGGTGTTTTCAGGACTGGGTGGAGCCAGGAGATAGAAGGGGAAGGAAGAGCAACCCTGGTGAAGAGGGTCTGACATCCCCCAGACTCTGCCCTTCTCAGAAGTGCCCCTCGAATGTGCAGAGTGGGGAACAGGCTTGAGGAGGGTCACGGGGGCTGGTGGTGGCGAGGGGGCTGCTACCCTCAGCCTTTGAGAGGAAGGCGGTCTCAGATTGGGGCACCTGGAGCAGACACAGCCCAGAACTGAAAGCTCAAGGTTGGGCAGAGGGTCTTCCAGCCGAGTGGGAAAGAGCTAGGAACTGTTTTTGGTATTTATCCCACTGGCACCATTGGGTGCCAAGCAGTTTACACATTAGTCTTTTCATCTCATTGTCACTTACCCCCATTTTACAGACGAGGAAGTTGAGGCTCAGAATCACTTGGTTGTCAGGGTCATCCAGTAGGGAGTGGAGGGGCTGGGATTTGAGTCCAGGTGGATGGGGCTCCAACCCGCAGCTTCTTTCAGGGGCCTCTCTGCTTTCATTTTCTGTTCCTCTGAGTCAGGTAATTTCCTTACAGGCCTCAGGAAAGAGCTGTGTGTCCTTGCTTGGGTTTCCACATCCTCGGGCTTGGGGAAAGTTTTGGCAGAACTCACCTAGAAGAGTGTTCTAGGAAATGTCTATCCCACAGCATCTCTGTTCAACCTTGGCCTTCATTGTTTCCAAAGAGTCACAGATCATATTGGAACTAGGCCTTGGATAGCAGATGCTTCTGGTTTGGGGTAAATGATAAATGAGGGTCAGATACTTTGGACAGAAGTAGTTTGTTGGCATGAACAGAGATGGAGTATGGGCTGAAACCTAGGAAATGGGGAACGGGTATGTTTATACATTGGGGGGCAGATGAAGTTCAGCTGGTCCACAGTGCTAAGGGACCCCTCCTCATGGAGGGGCTGTGGGAAGCTTTCTCCCTGCTTTTGTTTACACCAGGGTCTGTCTCTCAGCCTTGTCACATTGACATTGTGGGCTAGATAATATTTTGTAGGATGTTAATGAGCATCCCTGGCCTCTGCCCACTAAATGCCAGTAGTATCCTCCATTGTGTGTTCCAGAAGATACGACCTGCCCTTGAATGTCTTTTAATCTTTAAATGGTTCCACCCACCAAAGGTCTGTTGTCCCACAGGATGAACCCCAAAAGGGAGGGGGCTCCTTGGTCAGATAAGATTGAGAAGCACTCTATGTCGTGGGCTCACATCTTGGAGGTTCATGACACAAAATGGCATATCAAAGACTTGGGAAGTCCTGCCGTAGAGAAATCTGCTTAGCCTAGTGTTTCCCATTGCACTTGACCGTGGTAACCGTTAACCTTGCAGGAGACACACTGTGCACATTTGCTCTGACTGGGCCCTCTGCCTTGGTGCCTCTCCCCTTCTCTGCAGGGTGGGCTCCTTTAATTCCCCATGATCCAGCTCAGTGTCACCTTCTGCAAAGTCTTCCTGCTGTCCCCTCCTCTCCTTCCCCGTTACTGTCCACATCACCACACCCCTGGGTCCTCCATTGCTCCTGTGAAGTTCTTGAGGACTGGGCCCTGTCTTAGTCAGGTGTTAGCAGAGGATGCCCAGGAAGGGCTGCTGGGAGAATTCAGCGATGTCCAGGTGACTGGGCCACGTTGCTAGGAAGGTGAGTCACTCCTGTGCCCTGTTTCTCTGCATGGCGTGTAGACTTCTGCTTTGCTATGGTCTGAGTCACCTTCCTCCCTCACCCTGGGATGAAGGGAGGAGTCTGCTAGGCACAGGGTGATGTCTCTGCTGCTGTGAGCATGTAAGGACACACTGTCACGCTGGACACGAGTGGATGCTAGGCAAGCAGTAGCAGAATTACAGTTATGAAGTAGCCATGAAAATCATTTTATGGTTGGGGGTCACCACAACATGAGGAACTGTCTTAAAGGGCTGCGAGAACCACTGGACTAGAGGATGGAGGTTAAGTGCCTTGGTTTTAGGAGAAACGACTCCTAAGAGAGTTGACTCCCAAGTTCTAACATCTGGAAGCAGTGACCTTCCTTTTCCCTTCCCCTGGCACCTCCAGAGCTGTGTGAGGCTAACACGGGCTGTCACTGAAAGCACGTAGCACCGGCCTGGCACATACTAAGTGTGCTCACTAAATGGGAGCTCTGACTTTGCCAGCTTCTGCCCTGTTTGGGACTTGGGACAGCTTGTGCTGGGGCAGGGGGAGGTGGCTGAAGTAGGGGAGACGAAGCCAACTGCCCCCCTCACCCCCGCCCCTCAGGAGCTGGAGGAATTTCAGAAGGACCTTCCCCAGTACCTGCGGAACCTGTCCAGCGATGACGCGGACGTCCTGGTGTGGCACGCTCTCCTTCTGCCTGTGAGTGTCCGTGGGACCCTGGTCCTGGGTTGGGATGACTTAGGCCAGGGGCCTGGGCAGGGATGGTTAGGACTGGGCAAGAATTTTCCCTGCCTTGGAGTCCCTTTTTCACTGCCTCTGCCATTGGTAGAGGGGTCTCCCTCTGGATTGATTGCTTCCGAGGTTGAGGTAGATACCCTTTAGTTCAGGAGTCCTCAAACTACGGCCTGCGGGCCACATACAAATACAAATATTGTATTTGTTCCCGTTTTGTTTTTTTACTTCAAAATAAGATATGTGCAGTGTGCACAGGAATTTGTTCATAGTTTTTTTTTTAAAACTATAGTCCGGCCCTACAACGGTCTGAGGGACAGTGAACTGGCCCCCTGTTTAAAAAGTTTGAGGACCCCTCCTTTAGTTCATCCCAGCTGTTGCAAATGGTAAGATTTTATTCTTAAGAAAAGATTCTTGGACCTTTGTCAGGGGCTAGATATAAACTTCTTGTTTCCCACAGTTGATCGAGGGTAAAGAGTAGTTCCCCAAATTATGCCAACCTCAGAGCGTTCTCCAGACATTTGTTATATCAAAGCGGACGGTGAAGCTGGCATCTACACAAGTGGCATCGGTAAAAGAACGCATTTCATCAGTGTCCTGAAGGGGTCAGAGGTAATGGACACAAAAATGAGTCAGTTGGGCGGAGAATATGTTCTGTAGGAGGCCATTCTCCAGCAGTGTTCGTGCCCAATTACATGGAGTAGTGTTGTCCATATTTCAAAGCTCACAGATAAGATGCAGAAGTCATTCAGCCTTCTGTGAGGCCACACCCTTCGCCTTGTCTCTGCTTCCTGGCCCCAGCCCTTTCTTGTTATTCAGGAACATAAATGCTGACACATTTTATCTGCCCAGTAGTTGCCTCATCTCTTATTTCAGACACATGCAGGACCACTGTGGCTTCTGTTTTGCCTTCTGCTAAGGCAGAGGAGTTCTCTTAAAGCCCTGACTGTGCTTAAATGTGTATGTCATTCTGTCCTTGTCCTGTCTTCTCAGTAGCAAAGGTTCTGAAAGGTCTGGAGCTTTGGCACCAGCCTGGCCTGGAGTCACCGAAGTTCTGGGGTTCCTTCTGTCTCGGGGTGTAGCGCAGTGTTCATGTGTGGAAATAGAGTCCACATTTTGCTTAAGCATTCATTCGTAGATGGACGTTTGGGTTGTTTCCACGCAATGAATAATGCAGCTGTGAATGCGGGTGTGCAAATACCTGTTTGAGCCCTTGCTTTCACTTCTTTTGAGTATATCCCCAGAAGTGGAATTGTTGGATCATATGGTAATTCTGTTTAAATTTTTGAGGAACCACTGTACAGGTTTCCACAGTGGCTGCCCATTTTACATCCCCAGTCCTCTGAGTTTTACGGTTTCCTCACTTTTTCCATTTCATCCCCCCCAACTATGGTGTTCCCCTGTATTTGCTAACAGCTCCTAAACAAAGGACGTGTGTCCTTCTCTCCTGTAATTCTCAGGAAGGCTTTAAAACTGAGATGACCATTTGCGACAACATGGATGAACCTTGAAAGTAGACGGAGAAAGATACTGTATGATCTCATGTCAATGAGGAATCTAAAAAAAATAAGTAAAAATAGAAAACTCCCAAACTCCCAGAAATAGAGATCAGACTGTGGTTATCAGAGGCAGAGGGTGGAGGGAGGGGGAGATGAAGGAAAGGGGTCAAAAGATGCAAATTTCCAGTTATAAGGTAAATACATGCTAGGGATGAAATATATAATGTGATGATCATAGCTAACACTACTGTAGGTCTATAGGAAGGTTGTTTTAAGAGAGTAGATGCTGCCCTAACTGGGTTGGCTCAGTGGATAGAGCGTGGGCCTGCGGACTGAAGGGTCCTAGGTTCGATTCCAGTC